GATTCTGCTTTGATCCTATCAGAGCGAATACCTGATTAGGTCAAGAGGGCCTTGGTCCTTTAGTCGAGACTCAAGGTCTAGTCAAGGATTCTCCGCATTGTTAATGAAAGTGAAACAAATTAGAGATCATCAATCATTAATCTGGCTAGTGGCTAGGGGGAATCATACCTAAGTGAGTTCCCAACCTGTAATTAGATTAACTTTAACTATAGTTTGTTAGAGTAGTTTTAGTTCTTCCTACTTAATCTGGTTTGCAAGATATTGAACTGAAGCTGAGTAATAGTATCTCTAGAGGCCCATGGATTCGATATTTATTACTTGAGCCACTATACTACAACTCCTTTCATTGGTTACACTTGGCCATTGTTAGGAGTTGTGTCATAGCGAGTCAATCTTATATATTTAATATATATTTTGCTAACTACAAATATATTACCGTAATTGCTATCCTTGTCAATTGTTCACATAGATAGAGTTGATAAATTTTAGAGTCAGCTATGGCAATGTGTTCCCTTAAACCATATATACTTACCTTTGCATTTCTTCTTTATATTTAATTTTTTAGTTTAATATAATGTATTTCAAAGTGACATATTCTTTTATTCTTTTGTCTAGTATGCACGCAACATGTTATTATAATATCTTATTTTTTGGATAAATGCCACATTTGGTCACTGGGATTACTAAATCGTATTATGTTTAGTCACTAGAAAAAATTAGGAAAAATGCACTTGTATAGCCAAAACTTTCGCGCTTGTGCCAATAATAGACAATTTTGGAGAAATATCACTTATAGCCAGCTTTTAAACTTAATGTAGGACAAATATAGTCATTTCTGTCAGATACTTTAATGGTGTTAATAACACCATCAAATTATATGACGGTTTGCTGATTAAGCGCCAACTCAGCGCACACGTCAACGCTAAATAAGCAAATAGTGACACATCGTATTTTTTAATAATTTAATAATTACATATAATTTATTTGATTAGTTATATAAAAACAAAAAAAAAAATTTGACTTTCCCCTTCGACACCATCGTCCCTTTCGAAGTGAGAGATGGGGAAGATAACCGGCGGTGGTCTCCTCCATAGCTTCCCCATCAATCCTGTACCAACATTCTAAATCAAAACTACAAGAAATCTCATCAAACCAAAATATATTGTATGTATCTTTTCCATCATCGATACCACCACCACGGAAACTCTCCATAGCTTCTTACCCGACTCAATTAACTCTCGATTCGATTCGCCGAGATGCTATTGTACGTTGTTCTCCATGAAGCCTTTCATGGCGGTTGGTTCTGAATTCAGATCAGCTCGCTTTGGGTTTATAGCTGACGACTAAGGTGGTGGCGACGACAACGATGACGGGGATTTGGGGATTAGTGATTCTGGAGCCACATGTATTTTTTGGGTGAATTTGTGAATCTAAATATGAGGTAGCGTTGCGCAATGACGAGGATGTCAAGCGGCGAAGAACTAGGAGGAGGCGGTGCCGATAGCGGTTGTGTATGTATATCTGACGGCGGCTAGTCGTTGAGCAGAGGCAAGTTGGGAAATTAATGTTGAGAAAGGAAATGGTGATGAGAGGAGGGATATCTTGGTGATTCCGCTAGGAGCAAGTCCGTAATATCTTGAATTAATGAATGGGTTTGGGTTTACCATCATACAATCCAGACTCATTGGTTTAGTTGTTAAAAACGGTCAAAACTGGAGAAATTTTACGATGCTATATAGTATTGGTGCTATAGGTTTTTGTTTTTATGGTACAACTTAAAATTGTATATTTACGTTATGGTACAACTTCAGATTGTACCTATACTTTTTGTACAAATTTTTTTATGGTACAACTTGAACTTGTACCTTTATGTGATGGTACCATAACGTAATGATACAAATTGTTTTATGGTACAACCTAAACTTATACATTTAATGTTATGGTACAATTTTAAATTGTACATTAAAGCAACAATAGTATATAACATAGTAGTAGTGCTCGTCAAAACTGATCCAACCGATCTATCGTAAACTCCTAAACACGTGCTCACAGTTCTATATAACTATGTTATTTACTAGGGGTTATTGGTTAACTGCATGTTATCGATTCAGTTAGCAGTTTCTTGGTAGCTAACCGCTAACAAAATCAACTCAGGAGGTTGATATGTTGAATTATTAATTAATAATTTATTTTTGTTTCCTTTATTAATAATAAAATATAATTATACAAAATAATTCTAATTAATTGAAGTATAATTATAAATATCAATGAATACAGAAGCATGTGGTTAATTATTGACCTTTTCTTTGTTTGGAATGATCACTGTCGACATCGTCACTTTTACATAACTTAATTGGTAATTTGTTATTTGTTTACACCTTTCTAGTTTCTAATCATAATCATCAGCACGTGGTTGATTATTAACCTTTTCCTTGTTTGGAATCATCACTGTGGACATCATCATTTGCACAACTTAATTGGTAATTTTAATTTGTTCACACCTTTCTAATCATACTCAGCAGCACGTGGTTAATTATTAACCTTTTCCTTGTTTCGGTCGAATCATCACTTGCATAACATAATTGGTAACTTTTATCTGTTTACATCTTTCTAATCATAATCATCGGTGGACTGGTGTAACGATATATTTTTATATATTTCAGAAAAACATAATACTCAAACTTCCAAACAAGTGTAAGGGTGAACAAAACAAGTCGAAAATTGATCCAATCTTCCAATCCAAACTGATACACCCGTACTATTAGTGGTTGTGGGTTTCAATTTTCAAAATTGAGAACGTTGTGGTGGATTTGGATTATTACAACATTAGAATACCCAAACATACCCTTGATAATGCTTCGAAGTATTTAATATACATTTTTCCCAACAACAAATCTATTACTTTAATCACTAGCCTTGTTATTCATTTACATAGTTAGAGTCGATAAACTTTAAATTTTTATATTTATCGATGTGCTGCCTTAAAACATATATACTTCTCTTTGCATCCCCTCTTTATATTTAATTCTTGAGTTTACTGCCATGTATTTCTAAGTGAAATAATTATGATAAAAGATATTTGGGTAGCCACTAGCCATAACGATACACTTTGTGACAATAATAGCCCATTTTTAAAAAGCATATAGCCATATTTTGAAAACTAGTTTAACAAAATTTGTCATTTTTATAAAAAATTTATCACCGTTAACTCTTCACTGATGTGGACTTACACGTCATCAAATGTGGTTTATAAGTCAAATGTGAGTCACCTACTCTATGCCACGTGTCAGTTAACTCAGTCGGATCATTATTTTTAAATAATTTCTTTCATTATTTTTTCACCACAATTCTAATCAGAAAGATAACAAAAAAATCACTTAATTTAGGTTTTTTTAATCAATTCTCCTTTCTACATCTCCACGGAGAGAGTAGAGGACGAGATACAAAACTCCAACCTCCGCCCGACACTCTCTATTTTACGTCCAACGAGACTAGTTCATGTGTTGGATTCCCTTGTCTCCTCGTCACTCTCTGTCCTCTCTTTCTTCTCTCCCAATTGTCAATTTAGCAAACTGAATAGCATAAAATCAAAGAATAAAATGAGGTTTTTAATATGGTATCATCAATAGGCACTAGTCCGCGGAGAGGATCTCCCTCTCAGGTACAATAGTTATAGTCTTTCTTAGCCTCTAAGTCGGCTAACCTAGCCCTTAAGTCGGCTGGTATTATTACAAAATACTACCTTAATAAACACTCTCCGTCAAATTGATGTTGAGCACACAACATCAATTTGGAAGAAAAATACCAGTGCTTGCTAGACGGGACTGCCTTAGTGAGTAGATTGGTAGTCTGGTCTTCTGTAGACAAATAGCTTAGGCACACCAACCCCTCTACAACCTATTGGGTGGTTGAGCGCGAGACTTTCTCCTCTATTCCGATCTCAAACCCTAATTTTTCGTTCTCTGAAACCCAGATTGGGAATGAAAGGTAATTGACAAAGTCAATAATAACAGACACAATAATAAAATAAAACAAACAGGTTTATCGTAATAGATGGGCCAAGATATAAGGACTCAAAATGGGCTTTGTTAGTCTAACAAGCCCACAGAACTGATTCGTGCGTGTTCCTAGTTCCTTCTGATACAGAGTTTAGAGCACTGACTCGTGCTCCAGGCAAGTCCCCTGTTCGTCGACGAAACCTGCAAAACAACGCTTCCAACACCGAGGCTAGATCAAGTGAAGAAACTTAGAGACACGGTAAGACACACAGATTTTTACGTGGTATCCGGTACTATTTGATTTAGTATCAACTAATCCACGGTCGAAGGTCCTCAATCGAGTCCTTCGACGTTCCACTGTACGTTTGTAATCAAATCACAATTACAGGCAATCTCCTGGCAACTCCCCGTCACCGATCTGACTCCAAATCGGGTTTACTCCCTGCAAACCTACTCAAGAATACCCACTATTCTACTAGCAATTTACCCAACTGCTACCAACTTCTCTCTTCTCCCTATCTCGCAACTATGAACTGTTCTTTCGTGATTGCCTCGACAGAGTGTTTTCGAAAAGTACCTCTCTACTTGTGGAGCTGTCTGTTTATATCTATCTCCTTGTGGACCATTGCTCCTTGATTATCTCTCAATCAAGCTGATTTTTCTGTTCAATTTGTAATAGGCTTTCCTCTTCTAGCATTACCCACTCACAGCAGGATACTTTCCTTTCTAGACATATATTGTCTTGCCAACGTTTTTCGCGACATTGACGAGCTTCACACAACATACTCCCCCTAAGCTAGTCAATGGCTCCTGCTGCTGTACTGACTTTTCCTGCATACGCTTGGCAAACAATTGATGCAGTCTATTCTCACAAAAAGAAACTAAAAGGGAGACTTTTATTTTCATTGCATTCAAAGAAATTACCACACATGACTCAGTTGACAAAGTAACTACAGAGCTAACAGACTAACATTGCAAACTCAACCAACGACGACAATACTAACTGACACTATAAACTTATTTGACAAAGTCTGCTCCCCCTAAGCTAAGGACATCTCTCCTAGATCTAGAAGGGGTATTTCGGTGGAGACTCATAGTCTGAAATGTCATCATCATTCTTAGAATCCGAGGACATAGGATCAAAGTTCTCTGGAGCAGGCACAGCCTCATCCTCCAGATCTCCTTGAGGTGCTTGCATAAGTTCCAGCCGTTCTTTGCACACCATCAACCTAATCGAGGCTCTGCTCAAATCATCTTGATCTGTCCCAGAAGTTTTGATTTTCAAAACTTCAGCATCAATAGCCAAAACGGCAGCACTGATTAACGCCGGAACCAGCGCTGGGACCTGATCAAGGGAGGTTTCCTCTGAACTGGCAAGAAAACTACCAGCTCCTCCCCCTGAGCCAGTGACCAGCTTACGACGACCAACATCAGCATCCAAACGAACGATAATGTGATTTGGGCGCAAATCCTCGAGCACATTGCTTAGGGTTACCTTGTCACGCAAGTCGAAGTGCAACCTATATAGAAGACGCGTGATGAAAGAAACAAAGGGCAGGTCCCCACTATAGTTGCCATCTCCAAAACGCAGCATGTGTTTGAAGACTAGAGATGGAAAACTAATGGGTTGCCGAGCTCATGCGTTCGACAGGATCCAGAGATCCGTGGGTGGAGCACATCGGAGCTACGCAAGTCACGTGAGAGCCAGCATCTGGTGATAAACCAGTGAAACACCTTTAAATCATCAGGGAGCCGACCGGCGACCAGATGATGAAGAAAATACCAACCGGTATCATGAGTAAGTTGAGACGCAGAGCCTAAAAGGTCGAACCCCAGGTCATGAAACTCCCCATCAAAGCTTGCTTGAAGCCCGGAGTGAGGGAGTGAAAGAACATACGCAAGAAGATCAGGCGTCACCCTGATTTTGTGATTGTAAACCACGGTAGTGAAGAATTATGGTTCAGGACCAGGCCCCCTCTTGATGTTCACATAGAACATCCTGACTGCTTCAGGACAAAAGCTGAATCGTTGGTCTTCTACCAAAGAACTCCAGCCAAGACCATTCAACATGGAAGGAAGATCCATTCCATATTTGTTGAACGCGGAAGGCTGAATGGTAAAGGATGGTTGAATGGGACGATCACAAAAGCTCCGCAAGTACCTGGCATACTCACGACCAGTTCGGAACCCTTGATTGTTAAACTCAACTGCAGGGTGCAGTTGTGGGTTGGTGATCACCATGATTGAGTGTTTGGAGGAAGTTTAAGAAACTGAATCGAGGAGGGTTTGTTGAAGAATGAGGGAAGGGTATCAACCGTCTCCCTTTTAAACTGTTGGACATAGAGCAATATGGAAGGAGTGAAATCAGAATCCCTAATTGATTGATGAGAACCTCTAGAAAGAAGGAAGGTTGTCATAAATGTTGGTTAATTTAGAAGGTGGAGATGTCGTCATGATTGAACAGCCCTAATTCTCTCCTGATTGGAATGAATTTATCACTGCTAAGCGGTTTAGTAAATATATCAGCCCATTGCATATCAGTCCCTATAAATTCCAGCTGGACCTTCCCTTCCTGAACTAGATCTCTAATAAAATGGTACCTAATCTCGATATGTTTGGTGCGAGAGTGCTAAATAGGATTTTCATGTTGATTGCACTGGTGTTATCACACAGTACTGGAATCGAGTTAGGATGAAGACCATAATCTATGAGTTAGATTTAATCCACAAGGATTGGGAACAACATAAACCAGCAGCCACGTATTCTGCTGCAGCAGTTGACAGTGCTACTGAGTTTTGTTTCTTACTAGCCCACGAAACCAAGGAGGTTCCAAGGAAGTGGCACGTACCAGATGTGCTCTTACGATCATCAATGCATCCAGCAAAGTCTGCATCGCTATACCCTACTAACTCTAGACAAGAATCCTTGGAATACCACAATCCTAAGGACTGAGTTCCCGAAAGATATCTGAAGATTCTTTTTACAACTGATAGATGGCTGGCTCTAGGAGAACTCTTGAAACGAGCACACACACAAACAATATATAAGATATCTGGGCGGCTAGCCGTTAGGTAGAGCAAGGATCCTATCTTTCCACGAAACATTCGATCACTGATCTTGACACCAGACTCATCCTTAGTCAATTTTACAGAGGACCCCATGGGGGTAATGGCAGTTTTTAAATGGATGAATTACACATTTGGTCACTCGAATTATACAAATATTTCATGTTTGCCATCCGAATTACTTTTCTTTCTTATTCGTCACTAATTTTACGAATCCTTTCACCATTAGTCATCCGACGGACGAGATTGCCGCAGCCACCGATCTCGGTCCATCCTTGGTGCCATTCATCTTCTTCTACCTTGCCACCGGACCATCCAAATCACAGAATCGAGAGGAAGCAAAATCAAGAAGAGTCTGCTGGGAATTCATGAACAACATTATTTATCCAAATAGTTTACAACAAGATTGAAAAAAGTTGGCTCGATGCTTCCGAGCAATCAGCAATTGAGAAATTCCAATTCCACAGCCAAACTAAATCTCAACGAATTGCGAAAGAGAAAAGGAAAAATCAGAACTGTAGTCTGTAGCTCGTTCGGTTTAGTCTGCCGACATTTTCATTTTCCCGCTAACGGAGTCTAGTTACCTTCGGATCTCGCCGGAACGGAGTCCGAGAGAGCGGAGATGGAGCGAAGTAAGTGGAATATAAATTTATCATATTATTTGTTTTCATAATTTAATTAACTTTTATTAAATAAATAATATGATAATAATATACACTAAGTAAGTGGAATGATGAGTTGGACAAACAAATTAATTTTATTTTTTTTAATTTCCACGTTATCTAGTTAACGGTCAAACTTAAAGTTGACTGCCACGTATGACAAATTTAACGGAGTGTAACGGTCGGTGACTAATGGTGAAATGATTCGTAAAGTTAGTGGCGAATAAGAAACAAAAATAATTCGGGTGGCAAACGTGAAAGATTCGTATAATTCGAGTGACCAAACGTGTAATTCAGCCATTTTTAAATTACCTAGTTTAAACCTTTTTAGCATATTATTCAAATATTTGGTTTGACTAATGAAAATCCCTTTAGAGGTTTGTTTTACCTGTAACCCCAAGAAATAACTCAGTTCGCCCATCATGCTCATTTCAAAAGTGTTTTTCATTGTGTTTTCAAAGGTCTTACACATTTCAATACTAGTTGACCCAAAAATGATGTCGTCAACGTAGACCTGTACCAGAATAGTGTGTTCTCCTTCGGTTTTAATAAACAATGTCTTGTCCACAGACCCTCTATGAAACCCATCATCAACTAGGAAGGAACTAAGTTTATCGTACCAAGCCCTAGGTGCTTGTTTAAGACCATACAGGGCTTTGTTCAATTTATATACATGGTCTGGAAACTGATGATTTTCAAAACCAGGGAGCTGAGTTACATATACTTCTTCCTTTAAATCCCCATTTAAAAAGGCACTTTTTACATCCATTTGAAATAATTTAAATCCTTTAGAGGCTGCATACGCACAGAGAAGTCTTACAGCTTCTAATCTAGCTACAGGAGCAAACGTTTCATCAAAATCTATACCTTCTTCTTGACAGTAACCTTGAACAACTAGTCTGGATTTATTTCGAGTTATATTGCCTATTTCATCTGATTTATTTTTATAGACCCATTTAGTTCCTAAAGGGACTCTGTCCACAGGTTTAGGAACCAAGTCCCACACCTTAATTCTTTCAAACTGCCCTAACTCATCTTGCATAGAAGCATTCCAAAACTCATCAAGAAGGGTTTCCTCAATGTTCTTAGGTACAACTAGGGACACAAAAGCAGTATGAGCAGATGTAGATTGAGATCTAGTGGTCATACCTTGGCTCAAGTTTCCAATTACTTGAGACACTGGATGCCGCTTTTGTATGTGGGGTGGTGCTTGCAGCTCCTTAGTCTTGTCACCTGTATCAGCAGTTGACTCATTGTTTTCTGCTGATTCCATTCTTGCACTGTCCTGAGCTATTCAAATCAAGCTACCAAGTCCCAGATCATCTTCATCATCTATGGTAGCTGTACTTACACTCACAGACTCGTCAAATACCACATTAATGGACTCCTCAACTTTGAGGGTCCGTTGATTAAAAATCCTATAAGCTCTACTCTGGTTTGAGTATCCTAAAAAAATCGATTCATCTGATTTAGAGTCGAACTTCCCTAGCTTATATTTTGTATTTAAGGTGAATCACTTGCACCCAAATGGATGAAAGTAGCTCAAGTTGGGTTTTTTGCCTTTCCAAAGTTCATAAGGGGTCTTGTTTAATTGGGATCTAATTTATGCTCTGTTTACAACGTAACAAGCAGTGTTAATGGCTTCTGCCCAGAATTTCTTTGGAACACCATAGTCGTTTAGCATGGTTCTGGCAATATATTTCAGAGTCTTATTTTTTCTTTCCACTACTTCGTTTTGCTGAGGAGTCCTAGGAGCTGAAAAGTTGTGAGAAATGCCCGAGTCATTACAAAAGTTTTCAAATTCATCTGACACAAACTCTTCTCCATGGTCACTCCTAATAGACACTACTCTGGTCTGTTTTTCATTTTCAAGCCGTTTTATTAGCACTTTAAAACTCTGAAATGCATCACTCTTATTAGTCAGAAAAAGTACCCAAGTGAACCTTGAGTAATCATCTACTATCACGAATGCATAAAATTTCCCACCAAGACTTCTTATATTGCTTGGTCCGAACAAATCCAAATTAAGCAATTCCAAAACTTTAGTTGTTGAAATGATTTGTTTACTTTTGAATGTACTTCTGACTTGTTTTCACTTAGCACATGCTTCACAAAAGAATTCTTTCTTGCAGTGATTTTTGGGAATTCCTGTTACTAAGTCCAGACTTACTAACTTCGAGAGTTCCAACTCCCACGTGGCCTAACTTTCTATGCCACTCTAACTGATCGTTCTTATCTATTGACACAAGACAGGTTTCATTAAACTGACTTTTATCATTTAAGTCTATACAAAACAGTTTTCCCTTCCTTTTTCCAGTAAAAAGTACTTGACCAGATAGGGAATTTTCAGCAAAGCAACGGTCAGGTTCAAAAACCACTCTATTAGTATTTCCACACATTTGACCGATAGAAAACAGATTGTGCTTTAGACCCTTAACAAACATTACATTCTTTATGGAGGGGTTCGATCCTACTTGACCTTTACCTAAGATATCAGTACTATAGTTATCACCAAAGTAAACTTTACCCTTTTTAATTTTGTGAATATTTGTGAAGAGATTTTCGTTTACAGTCATGTGGTGTGAGCAACCGCTATCAAGAATCCATTCACTGTCTTCCATGCCCACTTGGAGACAGACCTTAACCACGTTGCTTTCATCCTCACTGTTGTCAATTGCCATGTATGCCTCTTGTTTATAGTTTGTGTCTGATTCATCATCTTCTTCTTCACTGCAGCTCCAGGTGGATGCATATGCTTTTTCTTTCTTCAACTGTGGACATTCTGCCTTTATGTGCCCAGCTCGGCCACATTTGAAGCACCCTCCCTGAGTCAGTGTTCTTTCAGCATTGTTCTTTCTTCCTCTTATCTTTGACACCTTTGTTTGGTCTTTCTCGGCATCTCCATCTTTAGATTTGTTAACCAGTGCTCCTATCCTTCTTCCTTTCTTAGCCTGAGTAGCTTAGCCACATGTTTGCTAAGCAGTGCTAGCTCTTCGTCCTCCAGCTCATCGAATGTATCGAATTCATCATCATGTGAAATTGCTTTGAAGGCAATTCCTTTCCTTTCTTGAATCTTCCCTTCTTCTCTTCTCAGCTTCTCCTCGTGGGTTACCAGTGTTCCCATCAGCTCATCGAAAGTTAGCTTGATCAAGTCCTTCGATTCTTCAATGGCAGTGACCTTTGGGGCCCATCTTTTTGGTAGTGCCCAGAGAATTTTTCTCACCAAATCAGCACTAGGATAGTCTACTTCCAAGTTTTTGAGACTGTTAACTATGTTCATGAACCTACCGTTCATTTCCATAATTGATTCGTCTGGCTTCATGACAAACGATTCGAAATCCTGCTTGAGGTTATTTATTCTGGAAATTTTGACGTGTGAAATACCTTCGTGTGCTATCTGCAGCTTGTCCCAGATCTCCTTGGCTGACTTGCAACCAGTCACTCGATGGTACTCATCGGGTCCCAAGGCGTAGTACATCAGGTTGGTCGCCTTTGAATTGAGTTGAAAGTTCTT